TGGGGCCGCGGCGCCTCGTTCGCCGCCGGCGAGTGACAACCCGGGGAGCGCGGGGGGATCCGGTCCGGAGGGTGCCGCGGCCGCCGACTCCTCCTCGCCCGCTGCTGCCGCCGCTGCTGCTGCCGCCCCCGCCCGTGGCCGCGCCGCCGCCGTCTCACACCGGGGCTGAGCCGCCGCTGCAGCCTCTAGCCCGGGCCCCGCCCCGCCGGCCCACGTGACCGCCACAATTCGATACATTGAAACACCGCCGCGTTCGGCCTCCTGCCTTAAAGCGGCCGCGCCTAGGCGGCAGAAGTGGCGGGGGGGGCCCACCGATCTCCACCGATCTCCACCTCCCCCACGCCTGCGACCCTCACCGCACCCCTGGCAGGGTTAGGGCTGTGACCGTGGCACTCAGCACCCCCAGGCCTGGGTCCCGCAGCGGTACCAAGACAGCCGCTGCCCCAAAGAGCGTCCGATCCTTGGCAGGAGAGGACGGGGGCAGTAGGGTGACCAGATGAGAGGAAGAAAATATCGGGACGCAGGGGGTGCGCCATGAAATAGCAGGACAAATGGCGTCCCGACTAAACATCGGTCGGGACGCGGGACGAACGCCTAAATATCGGGACAGTCCCAATTTTATCGGGACGTCTGGGGTCACCCGGGAGGGGACCTGCAAGAAACAACCAGGCCCCGCTGGTTAGCGCGAGAGGCCGAACGCGCAAGGCAGCAAAGTCTGTCAACGTGCGCTCGGAGGCTTGCTGCCGCAGGCGGTGTAGAGACACCCTTAGACACGTAATTCCCATTGCAATCGACGTCAGGTAGGTGCCCAAATACCTTTGGGGAGCTGGGCCTCACAATCTTTAATATATTTACCCTCACAACACCCCTGTGCAATAGGGAAACGCTATCATCCCCATTTTACAGATGGGAGACTGAGGCACAGAGCAGCTAAGTCCTAAGCACTAGACCATGTTGTGTGCGACCAAAGCTCTCCAGGAAAATAGGTGGTTTTTCTAGCTGCCTGCCCTACAAACTCAGCCTGAGATCTGAGAGACAGATTAACGCATTGCCAACAATACTGATCCTGGAGCTAGGACGTTGTAGGGATGTGTGCACTGGTTTTAGGGGTGTTGGTTTTTAAGCATAGCAGAGTCTTACAGATTTGCATACAACCTTGTAAAGGCCTCCACGTTTTCTGCACCCTATGAGAAGAGCAGTCTAAGTACGGCCAACCCCAAGTGTTCCAAAATCATGAGTCACCCCCCCAAAAAAAGACTGAGATTGGCTTCAAAATCATGAGACTGAAACCAAAAATAATGAAGTTTGGTTACTTGTTATCTTACTTCTGTGTTTTGAGCCTCTGAGCTACACTTGGGTCATGTTTTTGAAGCCCAGACCTTACCCTTTTAAAAATATGAATAGTCACATGAATCTGGGAGCTGGGGCTTTAAGAAAAAAACCCAACCAAATACCATGAGAGTCGGGATAAAATTGTGAGAGTGGGCAACACTATAAGTGTCCCTGGAGCCAAATCCTTTTTGGAATTAAATGCTCACCCCAGTTTTTAGGCGTGATTCTTATCTCTTTCCTCAGCGAAGATAAATGATTTAGAAATATTTCCAGCTTTACTCACCAGTGCTGATCACGGTGAGCTGACTTGTACTTCACCGCGCTCTGCGTTTAGCTTCATCGCGGCTCGGGATTTGGTGAAACTCCTTTCATTCGGGCCAGTCCAGGGGCTTGTCAAACCCAAAGGGCCGGGGAGCGCTGAACTTTGGCAGTTTTCTTTTCCTGTTATTGATCCTGCTCCAGAAGGAGTTTATCTCGGACACCGTCATGTGCCAGTGGCAAAGAATCCTAGAGAGCATCACTTTCTTCCAACACGGAACATGGACCTTTATTAGAATAAGCAACGCAATGCTAACCCTAAAGCTCCTCTGTTTCTCTCTGCTTTACTGTAGAGCTCTGCCTAGAAGCTACCCGAGCCTCAGTGCTGCCTGGCGGATTGCTACAGATTTCAAGAAACAATACCCATAACGTCACCGTTTCGTTAATTCTTTTGACCATGAGCAACACAGACTAGAATCCGGATCTCTCTCTCTCTCTCTCGATGCTGCGTTGGTTCTGCAAGGAGAAGAGGCGTATAAAGCAGGTGTTCAGAGGCTACAGTGGTGAAGACCAAAGTACTGAGGAAGAGAGAAGTAGTAAGCACTCATTTTACTCATGAAAATGAGCCGATCTGACTCTGAACACACACGGGCAGCAGGTCAAGTGAGAAAGGAGGAGCTGATAGTCACTTGCTTTTAAACTAGGGCCCAACAGGCTCTGTATGGCCTGTCCTCACCAGGGTTCATAACCACATTTGAAAGGGTTGGTGGCGGCTTGCATCCATGCAATGGTTTCAAACACAGCTGAAGTAGCACCTAGCAAGCTGGAGGGTGAGAAGCGCCATTAGTGGTTTACAGCAATTGTTCCCAAGCACCTCCAGGTACTGATTCCACGGGCCTCGGAGCCTGTAGCTGGCCCGTTCCTGCCTTAATAGTTGGGCCGTGATGTGCTACTGCATCCTACTCAGCTGCCCCCACCCTCGGGCTCAGGGGAGCTGAGTCGGCTCCGAACAGCAGTCACGATTTTGCAGCCAGCCGGGTTAGAGAGCGCACAGCAGACCAGGAAGCAGCTGCTGACAATCTACAGAAACCTTCACACCATTTTACAGACTACGGTCTATGGCACCTTGCCTCAGGAGAGCTGCTCCGTGTAACCGACATCAGGATCTGAATGCTGCCATCTCTAGGGTGGAGGGCAGCAGCTAACTGGTGAAAAATAAGGGGAATATACTTCAGTTAAAGACAGAGCCAAGTCCTGACCCACACAAACAGGGGATGAGGAATCAAGTTGCTAGCCTGGCAAATGAGTACAATCGGGGTCAGCCTCACACACAATCTGAACGCAGTGTCCCAGGACAGCTCACCTAGGGCCTGTGTCCCTATCATGCTGTGATACTAGCGTGGGATGGAGAACCTCATCTCCAGCCACACAGGGGAGCAATTCGTAGACTGATCCAGCCCTTCCAGCAGCCGGTTCTAGCTTGGGGTCTTGCGAACTGCAAGACTGGCCGTGGGTACCAAAAACTCATGGGCCAATCTAGCTCCCAGTGAACATTTTACCCTAGGGTCAGAATGGGGCCATTAGTTTGCATCCAGACATTTTAGCTGTGTTTTGAACAATTTCTGTTTTGCCCACACAGTCTCTTTAAACCCCAAATTCTCACCTGTGTTGTTTTCTTTTGTTTTATTTTTCTTTCTCTTGGAGATTGGGCAATTCTCCTTTTCCCTTGGAAGAGCACATAGGGGTGTGCCTGTTATCACATCTCTCCTGCCAATCTCCTTATCAGCAGCTGCTTTCACCGGAGAAGGGGGGTTGTATATCCGACTCCTGCTGAATGTGCTAAGGTGTTGGAAGCAAAATATGTTTCCAATGTAAACACATTTCCCATAAGGAGAACTGAAAAGGCAGAACTCAAGAGTGGCTTAAAATCAGAACGTTTAGATTAAAACACCACGTAGTGCTTTCTGCCGAATCAAGATACCACTGTAATGCATGTGTACAGAAGGAAGCACTACCTTGTGGTTAAAGCCCAGGACTGGGAGTCAGGACTCCTGACTCACTGTGTGACCTTAGGTTAGTCACGTGACCTCTCCGTGCCTCTCTTTGCCCATCTGTAAAATGGGGATACCAGTGATTTACCTCTCAGTGGGTTGTGAGATTTAATTTGTCACTGTTTGTAAAAATGCTTTGAGCTCCTCAGAGAGAGGAAACTAGAGCATGGCAAAGCATAGTACGCTCATTATTACAGGGCACTGCGAGCTTCTTTAGCATCACAAAACACAGCCATCAGGCTGGCAGATGGCCCAGCACAATATAAATACAACCAGACCAAAGTGCTCATCTGCCCCGACGTGACCTTCTGATGGCAGTGCGGGATGTGAAATCTTCTGCCTTTGCTAACTTTGGAAGTGCCTGCAAGTCACCGCAACCCAATGGGTGGTTGGTGCCCCTTGTGCTGTGCACTGGTGGGGCTGAATCCAATCCCTAGCAGACAGGAGTCTCTGCGTCGCAGAAGCCACCAATGCCCCTGGCCCCGTTGATGGCAATTTGGGCTCAGGGGCCAAGCACTGAATGAACCCTGCAGACTGACCTCTCTTTACACCTCTAGAAATGGTCGCGCCAGAATGGGCAGCACTGTCACTGCCACCCTGCCTGGTCTGGGGATAAACAGGAGACGCTGGTCCCCAGCACTGTCAAACTGGCACAAAATGACTAAATCTATTTCCAAATTCACTGAGTTCAGCTGACAGGTTAAACCCTTGCCCAAGACTTACAGGGTCCATCTACACTTGCAGCTGGGAGTGGGCTTCCCAGTGTGGGTCAACAGGCTCGCGCTGTGCTCAAAACATCAGCTTGGGCTAGCCACCCAAGTGCAAACCCACCCAAGCCCCTGAGTATGTACTCAGGAGGCTAGCCTGGGACGCTGTGGCCACACTGATGTTTTTAGCATGTTTGCTCGAGCAGAGCTAGCGTGTGTCAGTCTGGGGGGGGGGGGCTGTAACCCATGCTTCCAGCTGCTGTGTAGACACCCCAAAGATCCACACCATCCACACCTCTTTTTTAGCTGGGTTAAGGAAATACGATTTGTAATCTAGTAATACCTCCCATCCAAGGATCTCAACGCACTTTGCACATATCAGTGAAGCAGGTAATTATTCCTGTTTTACAGATGAGGAAAATGAAACCCAGCGAGTCCGGCCGGCATTTTCAAGAGCAGTCCCTGCTTTTAGAACAGGAGGACTTGTGGCACCTTAGAGACTAACAAATTCATTAGAGCGTAAGCTTTCGTGGACTACAGCCCACTTCTTCGGATGCATACCTGGTCCCTGTTTTTGTGTACCTGGCTTGCGACACCTGATTTCCAGACTGGCTGAGCGCTCACGCCTCCCGTTGA